TCTAATAGCTTGAATTATCTCTACAAGCCAGAAATTACTCTGTTAACGTGAAACACCTCTAACAGCGCGTCCTAGGCACGGGTCTGCTTGACCAATTGACTTCCAAAACAGCTCAAGAGGAATTGTTACAGGCGTGTTCTCTAGGCATGGATCTACCCAGTGTATATGACCTCCAAACCGACTCAAAACGGGCTCATGCAAGACTGTATTAGCCAAAGGTACAGAGACGGAATCAGCCGAAGGCGTTATGTTCCTGGAAGATTCTTTAGACTGATCAACCAGCAGAAAAAATATTGCGAGAGGGGAGATTGATCAACCAGCAGCTACGTTACATGGATAATAGGCCCATACGACTCAATCCCACTGTCCAGCGGTTAACCTCATCAAGCGCTACCAACTTTCCGTGATCCCCGCCACTTACTGCTGCTGAAAGCTCTGTTACTTACCGTTATCAGGCTCTGCATTCCCGTTTCACAGCTGAAATGCTTTCTTCACGGCGCACAAGAAAACGGGGAGCAGTCTGATCTGTTATGCGAAGTAAGTTGTTCCTCGCTAGTGAAACACTCGCTTCCTGTACATTGAACGGTTGATGAAGAAGCAGATACGCTACGGCGCCTATAATATTTTCTGTCACAAGTTTTTTGAAAAACGAGAGGCAAGGCCAGCAATAAAGCAAATCGATTACAGTGTAGTATCCAGAACAGCCAGCAGCACTACACACTGCTAGCTGCAAGAAAGGATTTACATGCAAAGCATATTAAAGGAAACATATTACTCCATAAGCACCAGCAGCTGCATATGCAGCTATAGACCATCAGGGATGTACAGCAGCAAATGGGTGTCTATGTACAGTCGGTGATGTTGGCAGTGGTAGAAGCATTGTTGGGGCTTGGAACTGCAGCTGCACCTTGTCATGAGACATAGGACATGTGACATGAGACATGACAAGTGGGTGGTATGCCTCATGTCCCATGTCCAATGTCACATGCCACATGTCACATGTCACATGTTGTTGCTCGTCCAAGAAGAACCATGTCCCAACAACTGCTCCAGCCAGAACTGATATGGCCCACCAGCGACGAATTTCACTGCAGACGATCCAGTAATTGCAGGAGATTGCTGCAAACCTTGTCTGGTCAGCTGCACCCATGTAATTGATATCAGGCCAGGCCATCCAAATCCACCATCAGCAGCAGCAGTAAGTCACAATGCCGCCAGCCATCCCCTTCGCCCTCCTGCTCCTTCCTTCCCATCCAGTTCCCCCAGTTCCTATCTGGCAGCAACGGTGGATCAGCTTCAGCTGGCCAAGCCCCAACGCCAAACTCAGCCGCTCACGAGCCAAGAAGATTACATGCCCGTTCCCATGCCCGTCCTCATGCCCGCGCCACGCCCGTCCCCATGCCTGTCCCCCCACGCCAGTCGCCATGTCTTCTGTTATGTCACGGCTTCATCTTACGTCCCTTCCAGCACCAGCATTGAGACCATTCCGACATTATGGACGCGTATGAAGCTTCCGCGAGAGGTTCCTCACACTGTACACCATTTCTTCAAAGCTTTAATCCTTACTTTCCAAGTGTTTTTTCTTCTTCATTATCTCCGGAAATCGTCACTCACACCAGAGGAGACCGCTGAGGCACACCCTTCCGTCGGCGATTGCCGGCCAGGCTTGGAGTTGACGGCGGCGAGAACCCGAGCCGCGGCGGAGATGACGGCGAGCCGTCAGGATACGAAAACGGGGTCGAAATCGGCACGAGCTGCGGGAATTTCCCCGCGAGCGGATATTTCTCCACGCGGACTCTCTTTCCTCCGCCGAATCCGCGCTGGCTCCAAACGAACGACCCGTCGCATTGTCCGTCAACGTCACCGTCAACGTCACGCTCGCCAAGCAGACGGTCGTCGTCGTCGACCGGTACGAGAATTCTGCCGCTGTCTGCGCCGCCGAAGCTGTCCTCGATATTGTCGTACTCCATAGAAGCAGCTAGCAGAGAAACTTCCGGGGATGACGTCGCCGTCTTCACTTCAGGAGTAACGCGCTTCTTTCCTGTCGTTCTCGCCTTCTGAACCCACGCAGCGGACGCATTACCATTGCCGTTATCCTCCCTCCACGTGTCAGCATTCCCGCCTGCCGCCGCTGCATTGTACCCATTCGCCCGGTGTGACGTGGCAGGGCTAGCTGCTGACGCACGCTTCGCGGCATTCGCCCCGTTATACCCGGCGCCATGTCCTCCAGACGCCGGCGCGACCCGCGGAACAAAAGTAAGCGTAGAATCTTTCGGGACAGCAGAGAGTTTGCAGCCAAGGGAGCAGAACCGACTGGCGTCGAGCAGCATTCTCTCGCACGTTTCGCAGTAAAACGGCGCACCCTTCACGGGACGAGCCTGCGGCCGGCCGTTGAGAAACACGATCTTGGCGCTGTTGATAACGTACACCTGAATGTGCGACAGATCTAGGATTTTCGCAACTTCGTTAATTCGCACGCACTCGTGGTACGAGGAACGGCGAATTTGAAGAATGTTGTGGGGTTTCGAGTCGCCGGAATTGATTGAACCGCCGGAATGGTGGGGGTGGCCGGAGTTGTTGGAATGCTGCTCCGCAATGCAGGCGGTGCAGAGGGATTCACCGCTGCACGTGACGCAGAAATAGTTACGCTCGGCTCTGCTGGAACCCGCGTGGCGCGGGCAGCTCGTGAAATAGCGGCCGCGCAGCAAACGAGGGAGCCATGCGGGGCAACGGCTGGGATCGCACGATTCGTGGGAATCCATGGCTATAGAATGACAGAGGGATGTCAACGTAAAATACTCTTGTAATGCAGGAACTGGAGGCGGACTGCGGACTAATGTAATGCGGGATTCGGCTGTATAACTTCCCTAGCAATTGTCTAGCAATTTCTAATCGGTAATGCAAATGACGAGAAATGAGAAACGGGAGGGGGCTCGCGGCTTATGAAGGGAGGAAATGCAAGGAGCTTTGGGTGGGAATTCCAAATGAGATGGGGACGGCTGAAGTGGTGGTTGCTTCTGCAGAAAACTGGCGCAACTGTCGCTCGGTTGAACAATCGAGTGGATGTGAAAGGTGGGGGTAAGTCAGTTACTACGGCTGTTGGGGGTGCGGAGTGGAGGCAGACTGCCAGTTGCTTTATTAGACTCAAGGTGTGGAATGGACTCTAGTCCGTTGCAAGCAAGTGGGTTATGGAAAGTGGCGCTTGGAGGTTGCATTATGCTTCGAGCTTTCGAGTTTGGAAGGGGCGGGAGGGAATACGCTAGAAGGTTTCTCGTGCAGTGGTTAGATTCCGTGGCTAATCTCGAGGTTGATTACAAGGAATCCAGCGCGGTTAATATGGCTGGTAAGGATCTTTGTCTGGTTGAGCTGGGTTGGGGTGTGCGCTAGTGCGCGTGCAGTTGCATTCCGTTCCGTTTTCGTTCCGTCAAATGGGGTCGCGCGGGGCTGACTCGGCTGATTGCATTGGCTGCAGCGGTAGCAGTGGAAGCGGAGGCAGGCAGGTTGAAAAATGAAACCTCGAGGAGCATACAAGGCGAGCGAGGCGAGCAAACCCCAGGACTCAGGCCAGGCGGACGGGAAGGCACGCAATGCCGCACATCAGAGGCGACGAGGGATTCCACCGTCTATAGTTGCTGGTTGGCTACGATTTGCCAGCTATGCAACGAGACGCGAGGGACGAAAGTGCCCCGAAAAATGTCGGCAGCTCCAACTATGGCTTGCGGTTGTAAGGGTTCCAAACGTGCATGATTTTTAACCGTCGATGGGAACCAGCAGTGAGAGACTAACTCTGTATGAGCGGTCGATTCAAAAAGTTCGCGGGATCTTTTGACCTTCAGACTGAAGGGTTCTGTTCTGGGTGGAATTTTCATTTGGCCCGTCCGCTGTCCCTTGGACTTCACGCATTGCGGCTCGGGGACGGTTGTGATTCAATGCATGGAGGGTTTGTGTTGCTGTGTGGTGAAATTGGGCACTTCATCAGACGACTTGAAACCAATCGAAACTTCCGCCACAAATTGACCGTGATCTATCCCTTCGCGAAGGACCAGTCCCTCGTCATGAGGCTTCTGGTGGCGAGGGACTCGCCTCAGCCAGCCGTCGCCTAGAGTGTCAGTCTGCTGCGGCTGCGATCTCCAAAATTGACCCGTGAATAGACCTCGGTGGTTGAGAAACTGACAGGCAACTTGACAATGTCGTTCAGATTGGCGCGCAGAATGGATCGTGACGTGAGATGGGCAAACACCCCGCGCGGTCCGAGCCCCTCGCTTTCTCGGTCCGCCTCTGCCAGGTTCGTGGATCCAAATGCCACATCAGCGACTTTGATTTGGAACGATCTCTAGGCGGAAGACTCGATGACGTCAGGTGTCTGCCGCCCTAGCTGCCCTGAAAGGGACTCTTGCTTTCGCGATGCTTGCGACGCGATCCGTGATTTGGACGACCCGACCCGATGCCTGGTCAATTGGTTGGCCAGCCTGGCGGAACCCCCTCACAGTTGCCGCAAGCCCACTGGAGTGGGACTTCCACTGTGGAGGACCTTTCGAGCTGACGTGCCGTGAGATGAGCCACTGTGGCATTGCATTCGGCATGCAACAACCTCGAGACTTCAGGTGACCACCGACAAGGCGATGGGGGAGGAGAAGGGGCTTCGAATGCAATGACGTGGCAGGGGCAGACCTCACAAGACGTGTACAGTTGTGCCGCATTTGCACAATTATCTCGGTACAGTGTGTGGATATCCCCGGTATGAGAAGTGCCACAAATCACAACCGAATCACCAGTGGTTCACACCTCCTTGGGATTCGTTTGCAGCTTCCTTATGACCAGATCTTTGTAGGGATGAGCTAAACATTCCGGTCTTTTAGCTTGTTAATTTGCAAGACTGCAAGATGCGGCCATATTCCCTATCAAGTAACAATCACAACATGCAAAGACAACGAGATATGTGGCAAACAACTATACACTGCGTGATAATCTCCCCTTTGCTTAGTGCATTCCATATGTACTCAGAGCTTTGACTTCCCTGACCTGGAGGCTATAAACACTTTCATGTTATCAAAGTCTTGAGGTGTCATCTGCTTGTAGTATGCCCGTGCTCTTTCCTGGAAAACGGCCACGCAGGTGAGAATGTGAGGATGGCAGAAGCTGCGGTTTGAGAGAGAAACTCGCGTTTCTACCCGCTTGCTTTATCCGACTACAAGCACAAGAATGTGCATGATAATGAGGCACAAGCAATACTTCTGGCAATAGATGAAACATAGGACTCACTGTCTTTAGTCGCCTGCTTTCACTGAGAGTCAGCCCAATCCCATCGGTGATCACCGCCTTGTAACGAAGCACCATGCTAGAATGGCTACCACCAAACCTCTCTGCACTGGAAAAAACAAAGACAGACAAAGTGACTCACCGTCTCTAGCCGCCTCCCATCGCTGAGACTCAGACCAATCCCGTCATTGATCACCGCCTTGTAACGAAGCACCATGCCAGGATGGTTGGCAGCTACGGTCTTGGCAATGGCGATTGCTGTCGGCATGAGCTGATCCGCCTCAACCACTAGGGACAACAGACCCCACCGCTCCGCCTTGTCTGCGCTGACTGGCTCAGCTGTTAGCGAGACCTCCCGCGCCCTGTTCACCCCGATGAGGCGTGGAAGCTTCTGCGAAAGACCCCAAGATGGGAAAATGCCGAACCTGGGTACGGTTTGGGAGAGAGGTGTGGAGATATTCAAAGGTTAATGGGAGCACTCAGCACCATCTCAGCACCATCTCAGCACCATGCCGGGATGGTTGGCGGCAATAGTCTTGGCAATGGCGATTGCTGTCGGCATGAGCTGGTCCGCCTCAACCACTCGGGACAACAGACCTCACCGCTCCGCCTTGTCTGCACTGACTGGCTCCGCTGTTAGCGACACCTCCCGCGCCCTGTTCACCCCGATGAGGCGTGGAAGCTTTTGTGAAAGGCCCCAAGATGGGAAGATGCCGAATCTGAAGGTTGCTTGGGATAGAGACAAAGGGAAACAGTGGAAGATCAAGGGGAGAGCGTGACTGCAGTCCGCTATGGATACAGTGAAATTTCCGGAAACAATTGATCGGGTGGATTATATAGGCGCCCACACTAAAAGACTTTTACGGGTATGAATTAGGTCACTACGTGCTCCTTCACAATGGTGGCAGAGGGCAGAGGTGTAGACATCCCCCACAGCAATATCTTCGTCAGAACGGTAGCATGATTGGATGTTCATGGTTCGGGTGGCAGGATGATGACTGCTCCACAACATGGTGATGGTTCGGGTGGCAGGACGATGACTGCTCCACAACATGGTGATGGTTCGGGTGGCACGATGATGACTGCTCCACAACATGGCAATGTGATCGATAGCCCGTACAAGCTTTCTCAGATCCATACCTAAACAAGCTCACTCAGCTCCATACCCCATACAAGCTCACTCAGCTCCATGGCACATCAGCTGCTCCACACCCCATAAAATCTCACTCACTTGCTGTGCGTGTCCGCGAATTTCGCGTGCGTGCTGCCGATAAGAATGTCGCATGCCAGAGCGATCTCAAACCCCGCAGTGATGGCATGGCCGTTGATTGCTCCTATGATGGGCATGGGGCATCGTTCCATCTGCACCACCACGTCTGCCTCTTCGTCCGCCACATCCCCCTGAAACACGCTCTGCGCTGCTGTCAGGTCCTGTGGGAGAACAATGTAGGAGAAAGCGAGTTTGCAAATCAGCTTCATCTGCACCTCCACGTCTGCCTCTTCGTCCGTCGCATCCCCCTGAATCAAGCTCTGCGCGGCTGTCAGGTCCTGCAGGAGAACAGCGATGGATGCAGGAAACGAATCTGCGAATCAGACAAGTTTTGAGGCGCATCAAATCAAATCAGCTCCATCTGCACCACCACGTCTGCCACGTCACGCCCCCTTGAAGCACGCCTTGTGCTGCTGATGGCTCGGGCATGGCCGTTGATGGTTCCTATGATGGGCATGGGGCATCGCTCCATCTGCACCACCACGTCTGTTTCTTCGTCCGTCACATCCCCCTGAAACACGCTCTGTGCCGCTGTGAGGTCCTGTGGGAGAATAGAAAAAAAAAAAGGAAAAAAGGAAACCGACTCTGTGAATTGGCTGCATCTGCACCACCACGTCTGTCACGCCACGCCCCCTTGAAGCACGCCTTGTGTTGCTGATGGCTCGGGCATGGCCGTTGATGGTTCCTATGATGAGCATGGGGCATCGCTCCATCTGCAGCACCACCACATCCGTCACGTCCCCTTGAAACACGCTCCACGCTGCTGTCAGGTCCTGCACGGAAAATTTGGGGAACAAATGCAGTTTATTGTGAATCAAAACATCACCACTGCGTCTGTCGCTTCATTCAGATCCCCTGGACCACGTCTTCTGATTTGAAAGGTTCGGGTGGGGGAGAGAAGATAGTATACAAAAATCACCACAAAAATCACCACAAAAATCACCACGGACAGGCTCTCATCCGTGGTCGGTCTTCTCGTTCAGCAATGCCGTTTTCAATACGATTCCTATAAAATCATCCCCTTTCTGCAAAACTCTCCACTCCACTCGCTCCTCGCCACTCTCCACTCCTTCCCCGACACTCTCTGCAAATCTTTCACCACTCTCCACTCCTGTCTCACCACTCCAGCGCAGAACGCGCGGCCAGCGCCGGTGAGAATGACAGCTCTCGCCTTCCCTTCCAGGCGAATCCTCTTAAACGCCTGAGCGAGCTCGCGCATCATGGGCCGCGTCAGCGAATTCAGCGCCTCGGGTCGATTAATTGTCACTTTAACTATCACGGGGTCTAGCCATTCCACGAGGATCCTATCACCAGCGGGTCTGGCTACGCTTGCGCCTGCAGACCCTGCCATTGTCAGAGTCGCCGGTTACTGATTGGTCAGAAAGGCCTACCGGTTGAATCAACGGGAGTTTCGACCGAGTGACTGCTTGACTGCGAGAGGTTAGGCAGCTACTGGAACGAGCAGGACTTGTCCAGCAGGGACGGAGTCCGTCAAACGAACGGGCTCGTCACGCGATGTGGCTAAGCGCTGTCGTCGTCCAGACACTGATGCTCCGATTCTGCTGCGACCCCAGATCTTCAAGACCGAGAATCGAGCGGCACCAGAACGAGAGTACCGCGTGCAGGATGCAAGTACAGCCACAGACTAGCAGAGCGAACGGAAGTACCAACGATCGCGTGCAATGCATACAGTCGCGGGAAACGATGGTCGAGTACTCACATTGGCAGCAATTCACGCTCCTTTTGAAAGCTGCTGAAACGACTGTACCGTTCTAGAAACAATGGTGGTGCTGCTGTGCAAGAGTTTCTATTGAGGAGGGTGAGGTGTTGTACCGAGTTGGAAAAATATAACCGTGGATTTGCACGGTCGGAGATCCCTACTCCTGGGGAAGTCCTCCCTGGCCAGCTTTATCTCTTCCGCCTCCCCAAAAATGTCTCTTGACTCTCCACCTCCTCCAACCTTGGAGGCTCAGCATCCTCACCCTCTGCTTCGTTGCCGCGTCAGCCTGCATGCCAGGACCATCGTCCTATGGCTCGTTTTCTTCCAGGTTTGGCCCGTGTCAGGTGAGTTCCGTTGTTCCTCTTGTTGGTGTGCTGCGTGTTCCTTCTGGTTGGTTTTTGCTCCGGTTGTTGTGGCTTTCTTGCAGGTTTTGTTCTCCTCGCTCCCTGTGGTTCGGTTGATTCCTGCTCGGTTCTGCTGGTTTTTGCTGCATTGCTGCTGGTGGTTTTCGATCATTACACTCCTTGGTGGTTTCCACAGCTTCGCCTCCTGCCGTTGCTTTTTCTCCGCGATCCCTCTGCTACTGTTCCGAGTGAGCACTGCTGCTCCGTTGATCCTTGGTGCCTGGCTTTGCAGGAGGTTTTACGTCCTCTGCAAAACCCCTCCTGACCTGCTTTGTTCTCTCCACGTCTGTTGTAAGTCATGCAAGCATGATTTTGTGACACGTTTCACCGTGACGGCGGGTCCTCCTTCTGGTTCTCTCCATGCACGCCTCGCGCCTCCGCCGCTCCTCGCTGGATCCTTGCTGGTTACCGTGTGCCGAGGCCATTGCCAAAGCCACACCCTTTCCATTCATGAATTGAGAACATTTCGTGCTCCTGTTTGGCCGCGATCCGTCGTGCCAACTCTCTCTCCCCTTCCTTGTCGAATCGCGGTTCTGTGCTACAAAGAGTCGTACCATGACTCTGCATCCTTACCACCTGGCGCTATGGATCCCCAGCATAACCCAGACGAACTCATGGGAGAGGAGGAGCTCGGTGCCTCTTTCTCGGTCGACTCTTTCTTTGCCGAGGAAGCTGTTACCCCCGCTGTCTCTGCTCCGCCCCCTGCGAAGCGCGTCTGTGCTGCCGGTTCTTCCAGTTCTGCGCCTGTGGCTCCCCGTGTGGCCTCGGTGGTGCCGCCGGTCACTCCGGTCATGGCTCCCGTAGCCGGTCCCTCCTCGGCTGCGCCTGCTCCTTCAACGTCGACCCAGGAAGCCAATCCTGTGGTCGCCCTTGCCATCACCGGCCGGTATCAGCGCCTCCGGCGCAATCGTGAGACCGTGGGAGTCGTCGTCGCGGCTTTGGCCCGTGACACTGATGCTCTTGTCGTGCTCCTGTTTCCTGAGGCTCTTGAAGCACATCGCAGCCGTATCCTAACCCGCGTCCGCAGCATCCTCCGCGGCCGTGACTTCTCGGGTGGCCGCGTCCCCGTGTTCGAGGCTTCTGCCGGCGAGCTTTTGCGCCTTCCTCGCCGCTCGTACTGTCGTCGCATGCTTCAATGGCCGTCTGCTGACTATGCGAACCGGTTCAAGCAGCTCCTACCGATCACCTACCGCTCTTCCGAAGGGCCGTCTGCGGAAATCAAGGTCTACCAAGATCCTGCTCCCGATTTCTCCGTGGCAAAGGCTCGCGGTGAAACTGTTCTGGTGCTGCGTAACGTGCCTGTGGGCTTCGCGGTCCACACGCTTCGTTCCCTCCTTGTGTCGAGTGCTTCGAATGGCGCTAGGTGGCTTGGTGATCTTTTGTTTTTTCACAAGCTGTTTGATCCCTACGAGGAATCCTTTCTCCCCCAGATGCTCGGAATCGCCGTCGCGCCTCCCAACGACCCGCTGTTCGAGTCCATCCCGGCCGTGATCTGGGTGCCTAACGTGCAAGAGCCCATCTTGGTGAATATCTCGGCACACTCGTGCGGAGTTTGTTCCAGTAACCACCGGACTCGCGACCACTGCAATTTCGCGGCGGTGCGAAGGAACCGCATCACCAACCCGTTCCTCATCACTCTTGGGCAACTCCAAAATGTCAATGGTACCCTCCCTCCTCTTGTTCCTTGCGTATCTGCTGTCCTTTCGCCCCTGTGCCTCGTGTCCTTCGGTTTCCGCTCCTTATGTACTTCTGCTCGTTTCGGATCTAACTTTTATCCTGGTCTCTACGCCTTGTGCAAATTGGCTCTGATCCTGCTTCGGGTACGGCTCTGCCTGATCCTGTTTTCCCTGGTACTGTGCTCTAATCCTCTTGGCTTCTGCCCCCTGACAATTTCCAGCCAGGATCATTGGTCAGCACCCTTCCGTGGCCTCCTTCAAGGCAGACCCGGGCACCTTTTTCATTGGGACAGACCTCGAGGTGGAGGTCTGGACTTGTGTTCTGTGCTCGTACCGCTGTGGCTGGGCCCTGGACAGCGCGATGGAACACATCGCTTGTGCCTCTCACAAAGCTGCCTCTCTGCAGATCGCCGGCAATGTCACTCCATTGGAAGAGTTTGGAGATGTGAAAGTGCACATCTTCAACCAGAACTTGACCATTGCCGCTTTTCTGGCTCAGGGATAGGATGCTCTTGCAGAAGGTCTGTGGGCCTTGAGCAATGTTTGTACTCTAGCCTCTATAACCGGATGTACCCGCAGTTGTATCTTCTGAACTTTTGGTTGATGCCATGTGGACAAGTCTTTTTCCTCTGTCACAGTACTTGCCCTTCTGAAGGATGTTCCTTCACTCGCCCCTGTGGATGTGTGCTTCTCGGAGCACATGGGGCTTCAGCCTATGTTGATTAATGGATACACACCTTAAAATTCAGTGTATCAATGTTAACGGGCTTAATAATCCTCAAAAGCTGGATGCTCTTCGCTCTTGGTACACAAGGAAACCCGTAGATATTCTTATTCTCACGGACACTAGGCTGACCACCACCTTCTCCCATCTGCTTTTCAAGCTTAAGCCTAAGGCGTATGCTCAAGTCCCCCCCCGACTTTCTTCCTCATCCAAGGCTAAGCCTGGAGGGATTGCGGTTCTCATCTTTCATCCCAGCATCTCTATCTCCAGCAGATCCGCCTCTGGCGATGGCAGATGTTTATTCCTCCACTGTAATTTTCTTCATGAACAATTCCGCTTTCTAGCATTATATGCCCCTAACTACTACCTGGCCAGGCGCGCTTGGCTGTTATCCACCGTTGCACACTACCTTGAACAACCCTCTGCCAGTGCAGCTACTATTCTTACTGGAGATTTCAATACGGTTGACTCACCGCTCGACAGGAACCGCGACCTGCTCCCTTTCGAGCGCACGGAAGCTGCGCTACTGGGGGATCTGCTCAAAAAGCACTCCCTTTTCGATTGCTACCGTCACAAATTCCCCGATAAACTCATGTACTCCTTCTCTTCCCTAAGACGCCCCAGCTCTCCCAATGTTGCTCCCTCCTCCTCCCGCTTAGACAGGACATATGTCTCTGGCATCTGGACGAGCCGCATACATCACGCCTCTTATACCTCCGTTCCGTCGAATATTTCAGATCATAACCGAGGACCGCTCGTGGTGTTTCGGTTTTGGAATCCGCTCATGGCTCCCAGACCGTGGCGTCTACCGCAGATGCTCACCTCCAAACCGTTCGTACGCTCCCTATTGGAACGATCCGGGCAAATGCTCCAGCCTGGGTTCACCACCGCTGACTGGGACAACTGGAAGCTGCACCTCTGCCGACAACTGCAATGGTTCAGCAAAGAGGAAAAAACTCGGGTGAGGAAGACCACGAATTTCCTGTGTGACGAGGTGTGCAACTTACAACTCCACCTTCTTAAAAATCCGTCCGACCACCAGGGCGCCAACCGACTAGCCCTTCTCTCCGCCAGCCTAGAAGCGTACGAGCTCTCACGTGCTTCGGAAATTGCGCTCAAAGCAAAGCTTAAGGTCGAAGGTTCGAGGGAAATGGGCGTCTCCTCCCTGCTAGTGGGCCTTCAGGGACGTATTAAAGACTCGCTCATTCCACAGCTAAAACTCCCCTCTGGTGAGATCATCACAACCTTACAAGCCATGTCCACCCACTGCACTGCATTCTTCTCCGCCCTGTACAGCGGCAGCCCACACATTGCTCGCGACCTTTCCTTCTGGGACCATGTCCGCCCTTCCGTTCTCCCCCCCACATGTACTGTACGCTTGGATAAACCCTTCTCCCTTGCTGAAATAGAAGGAGCCCTGGGGCGTCTCTCCAAAGGAAAGACACCTGGGCCGGATGGGCTTCCAGGAGAGCTTTTTAGTTCTCACAAACAAATTTTCACCCCGCTCTTCCACTCCCTTTGCACGACCATTCTTTCTCAGGGGCAGATTCCAAATTCTATGAAGGAGGGCAGAACGGTGCTCATTCCCAAACGAGGAAGCTCAGACTCAGTTGCGAATCTACGCCCGATAACTCTCATGAACTCCGACTATAAAATCATCACGCTCATTCTTGCCCATCGCTTACAGGCTGCCCTTCCGAAGATTATCAATCCTGCACAAGCAGCGTTCATCAAAGGAAGGCGAATAGGAGATACCATAAACGACACCCTGGACCTCATGGAATGGGCCTCCTCACAAGGTGACCCGCTCCTCATCCTCACTGTTGACTTACGGAAAGCCTATGATATGGTCGATAGGCCATTCATGTACCTGTGTCTGCAGCACCTGGGTATCCCCCCCGATTTCATTCGGTGGGTCTCCCTGCTTCACTCCGATACATCTACGAGAGTGTCGGTTAACAACTTCTCTGGCCCCTCGTTCCCCGTACGCTCAGGTGTGCGACAGGGGTGCCCCTTAGCCCCCCTCCTTTTCGTCTGCGTGGTTGAGGTAGGGGTACTTACAAGACTTCCTCCCCGGCTATGCATTCAACAAGTCACAACGACGGCTAGCGGCTTGCTATGCTGACGATATCTCTCTTTTCCTCACCTCTGATGCCGAGCTACAGGTTGCCACTCGTGCGCTCCGATCCTTCGCGGTTGTTTCCGGGGAACACCCGAACTGGGAAAAGTGCTCCATCATCCCCATTAACATGCAAAATGCCATACTTCGCAACACAGGCCACATCCCCGTCAGAGGTGCGAACGACCCGGAGAGGATACTTGGGATCTATGTGGAGCAATGCCAACCCGGGTCAACCACTTGGGATAACATCACCCTCCGCATCAGAGGTACCACCAAACTTCTGGCACAATGCAAAGCTACTACCACATGCCGCTCCCTTCTTTCCACAGAACGGCTCTCCTCTCTATATGCTTACGGCGCTAGATTCCAACCCCCCCCATCTCCTGTTATTACCTCAATTGACAGAGTCATCGGCATCTTCCTCTCGAACTCCCAATACAAAGAACACGGACTGGCCACCTGCCGCATTCCAAAAAGAATTCTATACAACAAAAAGAAACACGGTGGTGTCGGGGCTCTTGAACCGTCTGCGCACATCCGGGCATTAAATATTCAACGTGCTGTGCGTCGCTTCCAGGCTACTCCCTATGAAGATATTGCTCACTCGTGCGTTCCCGTGCCTTTTGGACTTCACTGCTATCTTGCGCACCCCTCCATTACCAAGTTTCTCCCTCCCCAAGTCCCAGCCAGATTTCGTGCGGAGTTGGAAGCCACTCTACCCCTACCATCTGTGGTCAAGCCTCCCCGACTGGACCCCTGGAGCCTCATGGCTGAACCTGTCGCCTTCAGCAGGTTCATTTGCAAAGAACCTAATGTTCCTTTTGGACGGCTGAAAAATGAGCTCTTTCTGCTCTCTGACCAAATCCGGTTGGGCAACCTCCTCATCTCCACACGTACCGGCGCTCGACAGATGGAAGAAGACGAGATTCTAGAAAAATTTCCCCCCTCCTCCTTCCCTGGCAGCCGTACCCTTATCCAGAACATCTTTGACTCCGTTCCTATCAGCTGGTGGGCTACCCTCCAGAGGTTCGCCCCAAGACACGACTACCTTGCAGTCGATGACTGGGCGCTGGATTTCAAAGAGACATACCTTCCAAGCCGCATTTTTCAGGTCACCCTTCTCCTCCCCGGACGCAAAGCACGCGTCAATATCTTCACGGTTCTGCAAGGGAGACAGGTGGCGTTGGAGTGCAACGGCAGCTGCACGATCGCCTTCAAAGACGTGATCCCTGTTCACGTGAAGGGGCGTTGGCTTGCTGGCCCTTTCGACTCCGGCCCCGCCCTCGGCTCGCGTCACGAACTCCTCGCCGGCTCTCCATCGCTTTCCGACATCAGGAACCTGATCTATCAGCGCCAACCTCTCAACCACCTGGAGAGGTGGAACATTATCGTTCGGGAGCCCATTTCCTTCCTCCCTGACTACCACCATCCGTTCCTTAAGGACCAACCCTCCAGACATCGCGACGTCCTATTTCGACTATTCACACTCACGCTTCCATCCGGATCCAGATATCGGTTCACTGCCACAGGCGGCGCTTGCCCCCGCTGTGGCCCTCCCATGATTGAAGACCTACCCCACATGTTCTTCGACTGCGGGCACGCGCCCTCGGTAGTCAAAGCAATCCAACAAGTTGCCTCTCGTCATCTGCACGCCACGGTAGAACCTGCAGCGGTTTTCTTTCCACTTCCACAGCCGGCCAGCTGCATCGCTCCATGGTGTTTGCTTATTGGTGCGGCAGCCACAATTATTTGGAGAGATAGATGCTCTGCCCACTACGAACAAACGACGTATACGCGGCTCGACACTCTCCACCGTATCTTAGCTCTCTTCCTAACTTCGTGCAAAATCTACTTCAGCCGACGCTCAAAGTGGTCCGACAAGAAGAAGCGTGTCACTAAGAATCGTATCCAAGCCGCCGCTGCTCTACGATTACTCAACTTTACGTCAGATGGAACTCCACAACTCCACCCAGCCCTGCGGGAATCCTGGCTGCTGAACGACACATTTCACCCCCCCTAGAGGATGGTCACTCTTTAGCCGTACCCGGTAAAGGCCTTGGCATTCATTCTATCTCTGATAGACAAGTAATACTGTCTTAGTGTAGGTCTTTTAGGCCTTGGCTTTGGCCATGCTTGTGGTGTTGTACTGTACGCGGTTACGACCATAATAAAAACTTAAAACTTAAAACTCCATTGAGGAGGGTGAACCACCCAGCTTAGCTGACCTGGCAATGGTTGAAGGCGAGGTGGAAAGTCTTGGATATGCATGGCTTCGAAACATCTTTGCCCAATGGCGTTTGATGGTGTACGTCATTTCAGACCCGAAACACGTCTGAGGTAACAGAACTACCGCATCGATAAGCACATTCTCTAGCTTCAGTATTGTGTACGCTCAACTTACCTGGTTATGAAGGTGACATCTTATAAGGAGATTCATATTAATTACCACATCCTAATGCCATCACTTACACCCAAATTCTCGGAAATTTATTTTAGGTCTAAATATAATTCCGTTCCCACATATGTGTCTATATAGGATGTAAGCGTAGGCTGCATATCCACTTGTTTAATCTGTCACTTACATTATTACTATTGGTCAGCTAACGCTTCTATTATTAACGGTCATTTTTTTATGAAGTATATTTCAAATTAGGTTTCAGGAAGAAGTCTGGTACAGCCTAGGCTTTGCCCCAAGCTCGGTTGCGACTCAAAAAGTTCCGCTCGGCTCTCCTTGAAATGCAACCGAGCCTGGGCTTCCAAGATTTGGGTGGCCAGGCCTGAGTCCGCATTCTCCGCTTCTAAATACGTGTATCTGTCCACCACCACCCCGTCCCAGATCGGAGCCTATGAGAAGGCCCGGACCGGACAGACTACAGTGCCTGCCTTCACGTGCACCCAGACCTGTCAAACCTTTTGCCAGTTGGCCGAGCCAATTGTTTCCCTTACACTATTGGCTTCGTACCTGGCGCCCCTTTCTTGACACTGTCAGCGTTACTGTGCTAGTCACCTGAGGGACCCACTCACAGCTAACCGTCACATGCGGTGCCACTTCTGGCAGGTGCTCTGACGAATTGACAACAGTCGAAGCGCGTGCAACCGTCATGGAATTCGCTGGAGCAGTGCGTACGGCCCTCCTCCCTCCACACACTCCTCGCGCTGACGCAGAGCAATTCTGTGCTGCTTTCATTCAAGCACGTTCAGCCAGCATGAAAGTTGAATTATATTAGAATCCCTCTTAGAAATCTTACGTCGTCGAGATTTTCTTGCAGATCACGCCGACCGACGCATGTTGCGCAGCGAGGCGTGCAGCGTGAAGCGTATCAATTCACAGCAACCAGCTTGGGAAAAAAAGCTTGGCCAGATTCGTACCTCGTGCTCGAGATACAAAGCAGAGCATGCAGCAGATAGGGTTACACCCATTCGTGGGTTTGTCCTTGTGTAGTGATTGCGCTTCGCTGCATGCGGAAGTGCCGCGAGTGCTGTGATGAGAATGCTGCGAGCGTTGCCAGTAATAGCGTAAGCTGTCACAGCAAATGCTTGATGGTATTGCGTGTTAGAAGTGCAAAACGCTTCGGATACTGTGATCTTAACGTTGACATTGCCTCGTTGCGACTGCTCGTTCGCCGTTTCGTGGGTGACTGTCATTGGACATCCTGTTCTGGTCCCACAGGCTCAGGACTTCGTTTTTGGTCAAAATAGATTGACTCGGCGGAGCATTTCTCGTTTTAGGGTCAATATGTGCTGGGAGCCCCTAGGTGCCCGGCAGGAGATGATGCGTCATAAAACGCTAAGTCACAGGAGCGGTGATTACCACTGGCCATGTAGGCCACTGATAGGACTGGCGATACGTAGGACGATCTTAGGGCATTCCATGGTGGGACCGGCAAGATGCAGGATAATCTTAGGGCATTCTTTGGCAAATCCGAGGCTAAGCGCGATCTTAGGCAATCAACCGCCTAAATCATCAGTCGTCAACGAGCCTATGATCATGTCGTTCGACGCAAACCCCATAGGGGCCTCGCTCAATATTCAGCTTTCCCGCGTCGTTTCTCTAGTCATATTTATCTCCACGTACTGGATATTTGAGCTTATTAGAGCACTCTGTCGTTCTAATATTACTACAAAAGACTCAGGCATACTACTTTCCTTGCGAGTATCGGCATTCGGACACCCCTCGTTCTCAACGGATTGCGTAGCAGCATATGTCAGTCCTTCGTTTCCGCGCTTCGGTTTCCGCGGCGCCGCTGCTGCTGCTTCCGGTATCCCTACAAGCACTGGCAACAAGGGAAGGCGGAAACCAAATCACTCCGAGGGTAGTCAACCGAATGACTGCAGGAAACTGTAATCTACGTGCGGATACTTCGGAGTTAGCAAACAGAACCAACCCAGCTGAACGGCGGTTTCTAGACGGCAGGTCACGGGAGCTCGCCCAACGGATTCAACCGCGCGTCGTCCCACCCGACGACGCGAAACGTGACGGCTCTCGTCACGGTGACGGAATCCGTGGCGCTTTGTTCGTCGCCGAAGAAAAGCGTCCAGCGGAGGCGCGGCAATCGCGGCGGGACGCCTCAGCCTCGTCGCCGCCACAGGCGGTGATCCTCCGCAGCTCACACGAAGGAAGAAGACGACATGAAGCTTCTGCCCACATGCCTTTCGCTCTCGAAGAGGAAATCTCCACGAAAGTGCGGGAGGAAGTTATGGCGGGGCGCAAGTTATTATCTCTAAGGACGACGAATGGCGCGGGGAGAATGTTCGCGGAATCCGCGGAGAAACGCGGGGAAGGTGACGACGGCGACGACGATGTTTACGAGGCTCGAGGGGCGCGGTCGCCTGGGCGGCAGCGAAGGCGGCTAGACGCGATTGAATCGCGGTTAGAATGCTCCGCTGATGCGCCGGCGACGACGACGACGACAACGTTTATTGACCTCAATGTGGATCTCAACCCGAGCCTGGATATGAGCTTGGATACGAACCAGAATCCGAACTTGAGTCCAAGCCGGAAACCGAACCTGAGTCCGAGCTGGAACCCGAGCCTGAATCCGAGCCGGAATTTGAACCTGAATCCGAGCCTGGATACGAGCCTTCACCTGACCTTTCTTTCTGGACGAGAGACTGGAGCAGTTTCGACACGTAGAGGATCAACACGTGAGCCAGCGCCACTGCTATTAACGCTGCCACTGACGCAACCACTTGATTCCCAGGGGCCTCGAGAGCAACCTCTCCCCCTGCCGTTTGCGCCTGGTGCGGAGGGGGTTCTTTCGCCTGCTACAGCCGACCAGCTTGACTCTTACACGCAGAGACACCGAGGCATAGGCAGCGGAAGGGAGAGTGCTGCCGAGAGAATGCTTCTCCCTGATACAGCGGACCAGCTTGACTTTTACACGCCCAGGCATGGTGTGACTGTATGGGACACGCCCAGACACGCCCGCACAGTGCCTGTGTGGAGCTCCCGCTCTAGCCCCAAGACGCCACCGTTGAAGCAAGATGATGCGGCTGAGGCAGCCAGCGAGCTGAGCCTTTCCCTTCCCGGCAGCAGAGCAGGGACGGGAAGGCTCGGCAGCGGTGAAGGGATGGGAAGGCTCGGCAGCATTGGCGGCTGCAGTGGAAGCACGGGTGGCAGGAGAAGCGTCAAGAAAGAGAGGGAAGCCGTCTCTTCTGACAGGGACAGTCAGCAGGGACCATGGGAGGAGCAGCGGCAGGGAAAGTGGCACGGAAAAGGGCAGGGGAAGGGGCAGGGGCAAGGGGAGGGGAAGGAACGAGAGCAGGAGCAAAGACGATCCAGAGAGAGAGAAGAACCTCGAAATGTCAAACTGCGTCGATGGGTGTCTGGATTCGCTGCAGGTGCTACAGCAGCTGCAGTTTCTACTGTCGCTGCTTGTGCTGCAGCCGCTGCTGGTGCTACAGCCTCAGCTGGTGCTACAGCCGCAGCTGGTGCCACAGCTGCTGCTGCAGGCAACTTTTGTGGTACAGCCGCTGCCGCTGACAGCGGTGGTGTTACAGCCGCTGCTGCAGGGTTTTCTCCGATCCTACGCCTGCCAGAGCCCATCATGATTGCACGACAGGCTCGGACAGAGCTTGCGGCACCGTCCGAACGTGGACGGGAGGTACAAGGCTCAACCAGAGTAGATTTTAATGCTCCAAGCACCCCTCGTTCGGTCACACCCTTTCCCCACTTTAATACACCACCTTCTACTTTCAATACACCACCTTCCCCCTTCAATACACCACCTTCCCTTTTCAATCCACCTACTTCGCCTCTGCGTTTGAACCCACCAAGCTTCTCTCCAGCCACTTTCCAACTTCCCCAGCCACAGAATCCCACTGCTTCCCAGATTTTTCCGCGAATGCGCCAGCAGCCACGAGGACAGGCTCGGTCCGAGCTCAGTCAATGGGTCCAGCCGTTTCCGATTTCCAGTCAGTTCGCCAGCCTTGCTGCTGCTGCTGCTGCCGCTGTTGCTGCTGGTGCTGGTGGTGGTGGTGCTGCTGCTGCTGCTGCTGGTGCTGCTGCTGGTGCTGGTGGAGCTGCTGCTGGTGCTGGTGGTGCTGCTGCTGGTGCTGGTGGTGCTGCTGCTGGTGCTGGTGGTGCTGCTGCTGGTGCTGCTGCTGCTGCTGCTGGTGCTGGTGGTGCTGGTGGTGATTTAACTAGACAGCAACTGACAGGATCCCCCACACGTGTGACTATAACAAGACACCTGCCTGCAAGCGCCCCGTTACATATGCACACTGAGCCACCTCTCCCAGACTCTCCTGCAGGTTTTCCGAGCACACTCCCGACTTTTCCACGCCCTAGATCCCCTGCTGTTGTCCCAATCGCACCTGCCCGGTGTCTGCTTGTGCGGTCAGCCCGGAAACGAAAACTTCCGCCAGAATCTCAGGCCGCTCAGGAACAGCTTTCATCCCAAGGGTTGCCCCCGAGTGTGGTCCCTGTGATGCATCTGGCTGAGAGCAACAGGCTGATAGTCCCCCGCAGCAAGTGGGCTCAAGGGCTTGTGGCAAGCCACATGAATGTGCCGGATGAGACTCCCAAGAGAGGTGAGCAGAAGTAACACCTACTGTGATCAAGACAGCAGAACTAACTAGTACAAATAGCATACGTTGTTTTGCTCTGGCTTCTGGTAGAGTAAGATTGGTTCAACTACCCAGCAGGTTGTCTCTGTGCGTGGCTCCAGTGATGCATTTGGCAGAGAGCAACAGGCTAATAGTCCCCAAGCGAGATGAGCACAGTTATAATATATGTGAATACATTTAACTATTCAGAAAAATGTACAACAAAGTACCATGCACTTGTTTCATGTTGGCTTGCGAAAATCGAATGTGTTTGGTTCAAGATTTTAATAAACCCGGGTCACACTGTGTTGCCTCAATGAGTGTGGTATGGTTCATACATGGGATGCATTTGGCTGAGAGCAACAGACTGATATTCACATGCTGCTAGCTTGTCATCAATGTGTTTTATACTACCCGACCAGAGGTTGACAAAGATTAATGATATTTGCAGCCTGTTATGAGTTGTAAAACAGAGTTGCGCGGAAAATGAATACGGAGCTGTGACTTAACGAACTGACAATACAATGAAAAGCACGCGGCTATATAGCAGGTTAAAGCCTGAGTCTAGAATGGCACTTTTGTCTTTTGCGCCAACTTCAGGTTTCTTGAACTCGAAAGTACAAGCAAGGAGGCAATACGTTCAGTTGGGTCGCACTTCTTAGTCATAAACTTTCGCCAACCCTGTTCTGCAAATTCTACTCTCGTGAAGTCAAGTTCATGAATCTTGAAGTTGAAAAGCGCCATTCTAGACTCGGGCTTTAACCTAGCTAGGCAGGAACTGTCAAAATAGTAGATTAAGTGAACACTAGGGTTTGGGGTAGGAAGAGGCTTGGGAGAGGAACATGTAGAGAGAGTTTAGCCAAAGAGGATGAATTCACTATTGAGCGAGGTACAAATAGCAAACAGAGCATGCAAAGAAGGTGCACCACCAACAGTTTATAATAACTACACTGAACTACAGCTACAGGCAGTTACAGATATATTCTAAGATTCCCCCATAACTGCCTGCAGCAGGAGTTTGTGCAGCAACACATCCTGGATGGGTACACCATGAACAGAGAAAACAGCATCAGCAGGCAAGAGCAGTGGCAACCGGTGCAGTGGTGGCAGATTCAGCTACACAACCCCTCAGCCAAGGTAGAAGCAACAGACAAAGGTGCATGTGGCGGCAGGTCGCCTGGAGAGCGGGTGCGTGCGGCGGCACAGCAGGGCTCAACGGCAGCACCTGCCGCTCAACAGCAGAAGACAGCAGAAGAAACAGCAGGTGGAGGCAGGGGCGGCAGCAGGAGGTGCCACGGTAGCAGCGGGCGGCAGCTGCAGATGCCTAGCTGACTTCCGCTACCGTCTCACCCTCCCCCCCACGGCAGCACACGCGGCAGTGAGAGAGAGAGGAGGAGGGGCGGCTGCTGGCTCGGCAAAATCTCTCTCTCCACTCCCTCACACTCTCCCCCTTTTCCCTCACCCTCCCCCCCGCAACCTCTTCCCCCCCTTACGGCGGACCCCGCTGAAGGGAGGGGAAGGACGAGCTGCAGGCAACTCACACCCGCCACCCCCACATCTCCCCCCCCCCACGGCGGAAGCTGCGGAAGGGAAGGGGGGGGCGGCGTTAGCTGCTGCTGGCGCTGGCGTCGTCGCTGGCACTCGCGCAGGTGCTGGCGACGGGCGCTGGTGCTGGCGCACACGACCGTGCGCGGGTGCGCACGGTCGTACGCGGCTGCGCGCAGCAATGCGCGGCCGTACGCAGCTGCGCGCGGCTGCTGCTGTGTTCGTGACAGAACGAGGCGGGGCAGGCGATGCGCGCGACGAGCAGGGCGCAACGGGCGCGACAGGGAGGGCGCCACGGACGGGACGAGCAGGGCGCAAGAAGCGCGGACGCGCAGGGCGCTGACGGGGGGCCGAAACGAGGCCGCATCTGACGCCGTCGCGCAGCTCGCTACCGAGACCGTTTCGATGGTCGCAACCGTTGCAACCGTCGTAACTACGGCTGCGACGGGGGGCGTGACGAGCACCATGAGCGGGGGGATACGTGGTGGGCCCACGGGGAAAAAAAATATAGGTCTTAGGACGACCTAGCTCTTAATACCATGTCAGAATCCCAACCACTAGACCGTTGGGATAAAAGGGCTTATTTGTGTAGCGGGTAAGTGCGCCCATAACCCCCCAGGCCAACATGCCTGTAACCCTTCTCTAGGATCAATCGGGGATCACCAGTGGACCTCTTACACCCCCCCGCACTGGGATGCCCGAAGTGCACACACCGGGATTCGAACCCGAGACCTTCGCTCTGATAACATGTCAGAATAGTAGATTAAGTGAACACTAGGGTTTGGGGTAGGAAGAGGCTTGGGAGAGGAACATGTCGAGAGAGTTTAGCCAAAGAGGATGAATTCACTATTGAGCGAGGTACAAATAGCAAACAGAGCATGCAAAGAAGGTGCACCACCAACAGAAATATTATAAGAGGAACCTCGGGAACATGAGGTTGGGTGCAGGTTGGGCAAAGGAAAGCCGAAAGCGACGGGGGTTACTTCGGCAGCAAGTAAACCGGCCGGAAGGGCAGGGTTGTACGCGGTTGAGTAAACCCCAGTAACGAAAAGGGTCTTCCCTTACACTACCCCCACCCCCCCTTTAAGAAAGGTGGTCAATATCCGCAGCTCGCTTGTGGGCGAGGTAATCCCAAGAAGCGGGAAAGCTTCAAGTGAGGCGGATGGCACCCACGTGTCTGCGGAGATTCATTCGACTAAGGTAGTGAGCTAGACTACGAGGGATAGGCACGAACAACTAAGAGTGATCGTAGCTTTGCTTGCGTTCCTTAGCACTTGCACATTTACGGGAGAAGTTGGCAAGAGTTTCACTAGCAAAGTTGGAATTACAGAGTAGTTGAACAAGCAATGAGAACAATGACTATATTAGGCACCTAGCAACCCTGCAGCTAGCTTGGTCGACCGCCAGCACAGCTTGGTCAACCACCTGCCAAAGTTTTGTAGAGGAGCCGCGCCAGCACTGCAGAAAGGCAACCTGCCAACACTGTAGGTCGACGACGTGCCAACGCTGCAGCAGTGCGGCTGTCCAGCGTTGCATCCGTGGATGGCAGCAGTGCGCACGCTCGCAGGTGCGCGCAGACGATTGGCCCGACTTGCATTGTTGTGCATCCGTCGGCTGTTGTCTGCGCCTGACAAGCCACATCGACTTCAGGATACCAGCCCGAAGTCGCCTTCGCCATCACGACATCGACGACGTTCGCGTGCCTCCGCAGAACTCGTCGAGCAGGTTACCCGGTCGACCTGGACACCACCAGGTGCTCTGGTCGACCACCAAGTGCCTCTGGTCGACCACTAGTGCCTCTGGTCGACCACCAGGTGCTTCTGGTTGACCACCAGGTGCCTCTGGTCGACCACAGCTCCTGTCGAGCTATCCCCTAGTCGACAGACCCCTTCCGTCGATTAGAATTGTCAGCTGTTGTTGCCGATCTCCCCTCGTCGACCGCTGCTCACTTGTCAGGCGACGGACTGCTCCGTCGACCTCCCGGTCGAACTGGCACTCCTGGTCGACGGCCCACCCGTCGCCTAGACCAGTCAGTTGCAGCTGTCGAGCTCCCTAGTCGACAGCAACACCACAGCGGTCGACCACGAAGCCTGTCGAGCAGCTCTCTAACTGTGAACGGTCGACTGCTACTCCCGTACATCCGACCAAGTCGTCGCGTTGCCCAAGCGAGGGCGGGGCCAACTCTCCATCCCCGTTAACAGTGTCGTCCTCAACAGGGCTCTTGATAGCAGGGTAAAATGCCATTTTTGCCCTTTCTGGCGGCCGTTTTTTTTTCAGTTACCCTTTCCCAAGAAGGATAATGTGTCAAAACATATATGCTTATGTGTGCTTTAGGTTATATGGCTGTTAGCACTAGGGGGTACACAATTTCCCTCGATGTTGTTCTTGCACCCCTCCCCCTTGACCCAATGACCACCTATTCTCCTTAGTCTCGACATGGTATACACAATTTTTTTTAGGGCCCACCGCTTAGATTTTTTTCCCCTGCCCGAAATTCTGCCCTTCCCCGTGCCTTCCTGCTGCCCTGCCCTACTGCGCGCAGTCCGTTTCACCCGCACCAGGCCCGTTTAGCCCGCGAGCCGCCCGCGCGTAGCCCATACAGCCCGCACCCCGCCCTCGCGCAGCCCATGCTGCCCGCACGCCGCCCGCGCGCATCCCTTACAGCCCGCGCAAGGCCCGCACGCAGCCCGTACGGCCCACGCATGGCCCGCACGCAGCCCATACAGACCGCGCCAGGCCCGCGCGCAGCTAGTACACCCCGCGCCAGGCCCGCGCGGAGTCCGTACAGCCCGTGCCAGGCCCGTGCGCACCTGCCCTGTTGCCCGCGCACTTGCACTGGCCCTGCACCTCACAGGCCTGCTGTTCCTACTGCTCTACTGCTGCTGCAGTGCTGCCATTGCCCTCCACAGTGTTGTGCTAGCAAGCGAGACAGCCCTGCCCTGCCTGCACGTGTGAGCTCTGCCCCGTGCACCTGCCCTGCTCCGCGCTGCTACTCTGCACGTGCGGCTGCCTTGCCTTGCCCCGCACTGTTGCACTGCTCGTCACGTGCCCCTGCCTGCACGCCGCCCTGCTGGCCGCGCCGCCCTGCCCTGCCTGAGCGCCGCTAACAGCCGCGCCACCCTGCCCTGCGACTGCCGCCCTGCCCTGCTCTGCCTGCGAGCCGCCCTGCTGGCCACCGCCCTGCTTTGCCCTGCCTGCGTGCTGCCCTGCTGCGAGCGTGCCCTACTGCTCTGCCTGGTATGGCCACTCTCAGTGTACTTTCGTTCGATGCAGAGGAGCGTCCGATACAGTTCGACGCGTGGCTAGATTACCTGCAGTTGTACTTACTGAGCAATTCTAGGGACGGTGTCTCGCTGTTTGACCTCACGTCTGGCGCCTCTCTCGCCCCTCCCGACACAGCTGACAGTGCGACTAGCTCACAGTGGCTTACCCGTGACACTGCTGCTCGCCTAGC